TTAAGTGGGGGGGGGGGGGGGGGATAGCAATGACATTTCCCTTCAGTACAGAAAATAAACAAATTCACAAAACCAGAACCAAAAGCTTTCAAGAAAGATCCTGACACTTTTGTGTAACCCCAAACACCAGCTGCTTTTCTGGCACCACAGCTTCACCTGCGGTGCTGAGCGCTGAATATGGCTGGGAGACGTCACCTGAACGTGTCTTGTGGAAAGCAGGGGGAAGACCATATATAATACAGCTAGAGGCAATTTTGTACATATATATAATATATAATTGTAGAGGCAATTTTGAGTCTCACATCCTCCTTTCCTTACTTGGGGGGATCTTGTGGGAGTGGGCACTGTAGATTCCCCTGGCTGTAATGAACCTTGTTCATGCAGCCCGCTACTTCTGAGCTGCAAGTCTTGATCAACACATTTGTTCTGTGCTCTCTAGTCTTGACAGCACCGTAAGCCAGCATGCCTCTGCCGGCGCGGCATTCAGCACGGTAGAAACAGCTCCATAAATTGAAACGCGTGATGCTGAGGCCCCCACGTCTCCCACAAGATGTGCTTTGGGAGGTTTACTTTGGGAGGTTCAGCCTGGCGTGCTGCGCAAACACTGCGGTGATGCATGTGGTTAAAGCCTTCGGGGAGGGGAAGCTGCCCCGCACTGCCCCGCTCTCTCAGCTGTGGTCCCTCAGGACAGATCCCGGGCAGTGTCATGGTGTCCCTTGGTCTGTCTCACAGCTCGCAGGGGTTGGCAACACATCCTGGTCCCTGCCAGAGCCCCACCACCACTTCCAACACGTGGAAGTAAGCCTGTAGTTGTTCCTGCTCCAGCTGCTTCGGAGCAGTGCTGTGGGGGCTGCTGCTCCCTCCTCCCCACTCCAAGACGAGGTGAAGCACAGGAGCAAGGGCTGTACGGACAACCAGCAAGATTGATCCCTTCTGTCCAGTTTAACACGTTCAGGCGCTCGCCCGTACGACCTTTGCAGTGCTCTAAAAACACCGTGCCTGCAGACAGCAGCAGCACTGAGGGAGTTCGGGGACTCGGGCTCCCGAGGAAGTGCCCTGGAAATGCTCTCTTCCCTGCCTGTCCCTCCTCTACGGCTCCACATTTCTCCTCCCGGCTTCCTCCCACTCAGAGGGCAAAGAGGCACCAGATACACTGGGGGGGTAGCAGCAGAGCACTGACTGCTTGCCACTGGGTCGGAAGGGCCATCAGCACCCTTCGTTCTCCGCATTTCTCAGTGGCTGGGAAAGGACAGGCTGCTGCGTGAAAGCTGTGATTATTGCCGGCTCCCGCCGCCCCCCGCCCTCCCAGCCCCACCGCTGATTCACAGAGGTCAGGCTCTTTCCTGCCTTGTGCTTTTGTTCTATAAAGCTTTGCTTGTCAGCAGCGACCCAGCCACGTCTCCGCGCATTTCCAGTATGCTGGGGGAGCCCTTCATGAATGTCACTTTGCATTTGGTCCCAGGCCTGTTAACCTTGACCCTTGGCCGCAGCGTAGGCTATGGCCATTAAAGCCGGCTGTCCGGGCGTTCGTCACCACGTGGATCATTTCCGCAGCGCTCTGGTGCTCGTGGCTTTCTGCTGGTGGGGGTGGCCAGGGGCTCGCAGGGCTGCACAGCAGCCACGCGGGCGCCGGACAGGCCCGCTGGCACCACACGCCCACCCGAGCACCCCTGAGCACCCCTGAGCACCCCTGAGCACCCCTGCTCCCCAGGCACCGCTCACCTTCGGGTGCAGCTTTCTCCTCGCAGCCTGCGCCGCGGCTAGCTTTTTCTAAGAGGGAAAAGCAGAGCCCAGAGCTTTCGCAGTGCCTTTTGGCAGCTCCCCTCACCGAGCAGGGTGCACCTTTCTCTTCTCTCATGGCTTCCAGTGCACGTATCGCTGGGAATCCGTGGGCTGTAGTAGCTTTCTCTGGGTTTGCCAGTGGCAGGCGTACTCTCAGCTAGGAGAGTGTCAGGCTGTCCCCCCTAAGGCAGGCATGAGGAAAACCCTGGTCCCACACTAAGATGCTCCCGGCAGCACATGACAAATGCCCCAAGTGTTTAGAGAGATGTTGGGTACCGTGCAGAGGCAGGTGGCTGTAGTAAATGCACTGACACAGCAGAACTGCAATGCTCCGTCCTCCTGGAAACCACTTCCTTAGAGGTCAGCACCCTAAAATACCTTTGGCTGTCCTGGGTTCTGTACTTGGGCCACGAGCAGCAGCAGCAGAAATGCTCACATGCCTGCAAGAAAGGAACCTGCTGATGGAAACTGAGGATATAAGAGCTTAGCCCCATGGGCTTTAGCATCTTTACTTCACCCCGCCCAAGGATCCAGCTCAGCTACTTCATGATAAATGGTCTTGGAGGCCGTTTCACTCGCCTTAGTCTCTTGAGAGGTTTTGGTTGCCATTAATTCTGACTGGTTCTTCCAGAGCTGCCGCTGGGATGTGTGTCTTTACACTGCCACAATCCATCCCCGAGGGCCATTTGAGAAGCAAGAGCCTGGGAAGCTCAATGTACAAAAACCAAATCACCAGCAGCAGCAAGGGAAGCACGGTCGTGGACACAGCAGAGCTACCAGCCAGGGCCACTGAAGGCTGAGTTTACTTTCCGCACCAATGACCTGAGAAAAGAGGACAGCATTGCGGGGAGCTGCCAGCAGCTCAAGCCTGTCTCCGCCGAGGACCAGCTCCGCACAAACGGCGGCGCAGCACCGTCAGCATCTCCTCCCAAAGTGAGGGAGGGGAGGGTGGTCCTGCCGCAGCCCCTGGCCGGGGAGGGCAGGCAGCCCGTGCCTGGCACTTCAATCCTGCTGCTTCCCAGCTCGCTGTGTAGGCAAATGGGGTACTCGCTCTCCTGCCAAACTTGCCTGTTTGGTCTGTCACATGCCTCAGCCATCGCCCCTCCTGCTTATCTCCACTCTGGTTAAACAGCCCGACACCTGCAGTGCCTCTGCAGGCTTTGCTGGTTTTCTTGCACGTCTCCAGACCTCTCTGTGCAGGACTTGGGAGGGGAACAGGCACCCAGCTGACGTCCCAGTGAGGCTTACGTGGAAAGAAGGAAGCCATAGTGGTTATATTACACAAGCATGATGAGAACAAATGCACACAGGTTAAGAGGACTTGCTAGTGACGCTTGTGAGCCACTGATTGCTACTGTTCAAGCAGGGAGGTGGTTTTGTTCACTAATGTTTGCAAAGGCTCTGGGGAACCTGCAGAGTAAGAGAAAAGCATCGTGATGCTGAAGGCTGCTCTTGGCATAGCGCCTTGCTCGGTTTCTTTCCTCCCAGACTGCAGATGGGCATTTTCATGCTCTTGCAAACCTGCACCCAGCACAACAGCATTCAGTCATTGCTTGAGCTTTTCTTGTGCTGTTAACTCAGCTGCTCCAATTCCCCAAACAGCCTCTGTGATGCAGCTGAAGTCTAAGACCTGGGTGGGAGAGCAGACACAAAACACTAAGTCAAAAGCTATCGTCACTTGCCGCTATTGAGAGCGAGGACAGGGGCAGCTCCTGTCAGCTCAGACTGGCGGATCGGGCACAGGCAACCTGCAAATGCTCCACAGCGTTTAGGGATTCAGGATGGAGTGAGAGGGTATTCAAGGCAGGTGTTTCAGCTCCAAAATGAGTACATGCAGCTAAGTCCTCTGCGTTTTTCACTCAAGTGTATGTGTGAGTGTATTTCAAGAGCTAGAGAGACACATTAGGACACAAATAGAAGTTAGGCAGCAAGACATTTTGAGAGGATGCCTGGTTTGACTATTGAAAACGAACAGAGTCAAGCACTATGCATTTTTCCAACGATGTTTATTTGTTTTCTGTAGCCCACTGACACAGCTGGATCTGGCAATGGAGCAGATTCTTTTTTCCTTAAAGTGTCTATGTGACATTTAGTCAAGGCTAACACTGTAGTCAAAGGCATTTAGAGAGGGCAGCAGCAGAAGCAATGAGAGGTGTTGGGAGGAGACTGTACAGCAGGACAAGAGGGGCAGGGAGCACCTTCCCTCCTGCTGCCACAGTGGAGACAGGGTGCAGATAGGCGTATAATCTTTTTGGTTATCTGTACCAGACAAACACAGCACCATGCAACACAATCTGCAGCTGGAAATGGGTGGAGAGCAGGATACGGATAGTTATTGCAGTCTGCTTTTTCGGAAGCTGTGTGCCTCGGAAGCGCAGCTGCCCGTGGCAGGGAGCAGTCTGATGAGTAACCAGGCTGTCAGCAGCTGGGACACAAGCTCCCGAGTGGCATTTGCTTGCTGAAGGGAACCACAACTCTCAGGATGCATCTACTGGGACAGACCTCTCCCTTGCAGCCGGATCCACTCTGCTGCATTTCAAACGGAGTTCAAGTATCTAAAATATCGTGTAACGAGCCACCTATCTATTGTCTTTGCAGGAGGCGGATTACCATGGTGTCTCGTCAGGTTAAGGTTCCTTCCCAGGGTGCCTTCCCTCCCAGCTCTGGCCCAGACCTGCACCTTCCATGGCGACTTGCTGTCCAGCCTAGCTGAAGGCAGCCCCACCTCAAACATCATTTCTCTTCTAAAGGAAGATTGGAAGAATACCTTCTCCTGATCGCACTCCACTGCTAGCAGTTCCACCCGCCTCCCACCCTCCAGCCCGGGTCCCACACAGCCCACCACCCCAGGCCGTGTGTGCTGCGTAGCTGCACCCAGGCGCAGAGGCTGGGCCATGGGTACAGGAGGGTGGCACACACACAGGATCGCTCCCTTTTACTTTGTTTCCCCCAGTCACAGACCTTCCGGCACCTGAATACTCCTCTGCCAAGTGGTTCCTTCACCCCAAGCAGTCCGCACAGCAGCCAACCCAGAAGTCTCCACGGTGGGGGGGCGACTCGTGCACCCCAGTTTGCAGCTGGGACCTTTGCTCAGCCCTAGAGACTGAGAGAAAGGCTTTGGAAAGGTGGGCTGGCTCCTGCAGCCAGCACCATGCCCTTGTCTCAGCCAGTTACTGTACAAAATGGACAACACACACACATTATTTACAGCCTGTTTTTCACATGATGGAGCAGCTCTTGGCTCGGTCTTTCCTGATCTCTGTGTCATTCAGTAAGTCCGTCCTGCCAGGCATCTGTGATGCCCGCTTCAGTCCCCGTTTGGAGTTGCTGCGCTTCAAGTTCTTGTGCACCCTGTTGACCGAGGCAAGCGTGGTCACATGAAACACATCCCGTACGCTGTTCTCCGAGACCTTGGAGGAGCACTCTGCATAGGCCACCGCCCCAATCTGCCGTGCCAGCGCACTGCCCTGCGGTCCAGAGAGAGTGGGAGGAAGAGGGAAGACGGTTAAGGCACCAGCGCTCTGCAAGGAGCATCCTTTCACGTCACCGTCAGCCCTGTCTGTGCTGGCAGCCCTATCAGGGCACCGTGCCACAGCCGGGAGCGGCTCTCTCACAGCGTTTACTCATCACCTCTGTAAATAAAGTGCAAGAGCCTGTGAGAGCACCAGACGTGAGGGTGGCCCCCCAAGCAGACAATGCTACCGGGCGCTGGACGCTGAATCACCTGCACTTTCTCGTTAACCGGTGCCACTGCTACAGCTGAGGGCCTGGACAACCCCTCTGCCCCGGACACCCAGCGGGGACCTGCTCGGCACAACATGGAGCCTGGCACAGAGCAGCCCAGCGCGCAGCCACCCCTGCACAGCACCACAGAGGCTGGGTCTCCGGGCCAGCCTGGAGCCACTGCTGGGTCCAGCGGTGGCCGCCGCAGCCCAGCAAGCAGCAGACCCTTGCACCCCCCAGCTGTGGCTTGCCCCCCCTCAGCAGCGTTGCCCCAACAAAGAACCTGAATGGAGAGTCACTTGGAGCAGACAGAGCTGCACTGAACTAGGAGATGCAGAAGGCCAACGCTCCCCTTTAGCCAGTCCAACTTGTCAAATCAGGCATCTCCGCCACCTTTGAGGAAAGACTTTTCAGCTAGTAACCAGGAGGCTGTTCAGCAGAGCATCAGGAATAAGGCAAGGTCTACCAGAGCTGGGGAGAAGAGTGCTGTAAGCACGAGCAGCTCAGAGGCCGTGAGCTGAACCAAACCAGCTTCAGACCAAGACCTGGGCACAGCGGGGTCATTTGCTGTTGAGCTTCCTTGTACTAGCAGGTCCTGCAGAAAAGTCCCTGCCTCACCTCCCTGAGCCCTACGGGGACGGCTGCTGAAACACACCTGCTCGTGCGTCACAGGGATGAGGCGCTGCTTGGAAAGCTCCCGGAGCGTGTTGAGGTCTGTCCGCATGTCCAGCTTGCAGCCGACCAGCACAATCTTCGCGTTGGGGCAGAACTCCTGAGTTTCCCCTTGCCACTGCAGAGGAGACAAGAGGGAGAAGGTGCTCAGGGGCTACTGGTGTACGAGATGCTTCAAGAGGCCCAGAGGCACCTCCACGTCAAGTTAATTTTGGCAGCAGGCAGCCTGCGAAAGGGTCAAGGTTGGAATAACAAAGGCAATCAGAGGGTCTCAGCTCGTCGCTCCCAGCCCCTTTCCAACAAGGCCAAGAGCCCCGTCCAAGATGCCCCAGCCCTGGAGGGAAGGACAGGCCAGGAGAGTCGTGCCATCAGTTCCTACCAGACAGCATCATCCAGCCAAACACCTCCATGCCTCACCGCCACGGCAGAGCCCATGAGTCTGGTCCATAGCTCCTCCTGCTCCCCCCAGCAAACGGCACTTCCCTCTCCCACAGAGGAACGACGACTGCAGCAGCCCAGGGTCCCAGCACCTCCTGACCATCAGCAGACGCTGCCAAGCCACCCTGGCCTGGCTCGTCTCTGCACAGCACCTGGAACTGGACCCATCAGGGTGCTGGAACTGCTACTGGTAGCCACCGCAACGCCGCTTTTAGGTCTCCTGCCTCGGACCTGCGGTGCCTGGTGCCAGCACTGAGGCTGGTTTTGGCCCCACTGCAGCCTGCATGCCCAGATTTCAGGAAGAGGGGAAGGGGGGCACGGGCAATGGTGGTCACCATGGTCAGCAGGGGCTCTCAGTGAGGACGCAGGCGGGGAGTGGCTCTGCAGACTGCGCTGAAGACAGGAAACACAGGGACAGCCAGCTTTCGGTGTTCTGAATACAACATGAGGCTCTAATGGGATCGGGTTCGGAAAGCAGACTTCAGAGGCCAAGACCGTGCACTCTGGTGTGTATGGCTTTTCCAAACGGGGGTCACAGCTGTTCAGAGACTGATCAGCTCATCAGGGCACTTTAATGACTGCCACAGGCAAGGATGGGAACGGTCAAATGCCTCTCGGATAACTTCATGCTCGCTTGTTCCAGATATGCCCTGCAAACCTGTTAAATCTAAGCTGCAGTCCCCTGCGCTAGGCCACGGGAGACCACTCCTGGGTATGACTGGAAAAATAATGCCCACGCAGTCTGGTGCATAGATCTGGGATTCCAAAGGTCAACCTCGCTGGACCTTTTGAACCACAGTCAGCGGGGAGCTCTTCGCACAGCACACTCATTATTTGTTTATTATTGGGAGCCACATGTTAAAGACATTAAGACATTCAGAGTGTAGATACAGCAGGGACATAAAAAATTGAAGCAATGGAAGAAGAGGGCCAGGGCAGATGTCCACTTCCTTCACACTAACGGTCCCTTTCAGAACTCCAAAAATGAGTGCCCAATGTGCAGCTAAGTGTCCGCAGCAGTAAATAAAACTACCACCGGTGACCTCCCCCGGGGGAGACCTGTAGAGTTCCATCAGCGTGTCAACACCCTGGTTACTTATCTAGTGTTTCTGAGGTAGGAGGCAGATGACAAATAGAGATTACCCCAGCTAAAGATGTCGCTTGGAATTAGCAATTTCCTGCTACACTAACTGATGGTTAAGCGTATACCCTAGGTAATTAGAAGGGGAAAGAAAACCAAGACCACAACCCGGTGTCCATAATCTGGTGGGGAAAGGAAGTGCCAAGAATGACCTGAGTGTCATTCAACCAATATCAGACCAAATCAACTGCAAAATATGGAAAGATCTTATTTTCCACCAAGAGATGGGCTCAAGTATCTCCACCATGACCCCCATTCCCTGCTGCCAGGGACTTTTGTCCACCAGGACTCACGCAAATCCCCAGCACCCGGGCAGCGCGCTGGGCTGCACAGCTTCTGGGAGATTTCTGGTGTCACAGCCGCACGGCGTCAAGGGCTAACACACCCGCAAGAGAGGGACCATGCAGTTCTTTTGGAGCTGGAATTCAAGCAATTTACCTGAAGGATGAAAATCCTTGAAGGGATTGAGCTATGGGGTCTGTTCTTACCAGGCAGAGGTCATGGCTGTCTGTAACGACATAGGGCTCCCCGGTCTATGGAGAGAGGTGCAACCCTCTTGGCACATGACTGACACATTAGGGACCCTAAGATTTGCTGCACTACCCAGACTTGTCAGGATGAAGGCACCGCTCCACAAAAACCTGCTTCGTATGAAATGAAGAGCTGCTTGTTTGCATTCTCTCAGATGGCTCCTTCCCTTCAACTGTACATGCTGTACAGGCAGCCCAGGCGTCAGAAGGGCAGCAATAATAAAGATTTCCTCTGCTGAATTAGCATTTTTGCCTGAGGCTTGAATAGGGAGTGTTATTTTCCTTATTCGCCTGATACGAAAAGCTAAAACCCATTTCAACTTCATGGTGTCTTAGGAATTTTCCTCACCTCCATAGTCTGCAAGCCTGCACCAAAGGAAACAAGGCATCTACTCAGAGGCACTTAAGAAATCCCCTGTGATTTAGGGTTTATTTTAAGTCACCGTATCAAAAAGACATTGCCTAACAGTACTCAAAGCATCTGTGAGGTTGCAGAGGGAAGACCTTGCACTGAGCAGTGCGGACTCGCAGGAAGAGCATGCAGAGACACATAAATAAATCCCAGCCCCTGCTAATTATTGATGGGTTTGCATCTCATTAAGGCACAAGTGATTTGCTTGCATTATTATTCTGCTGACTCCCAAAGTGGGCAGTGAATTCTTTCAGTCCACATGAAACACGCCTCCCTCCGCCCAGCACGCTTGCTACCCGGGACCTGCTTTGGAAACGCTGAGCCACTGACTGAGTTGTCTCAAGGGTCTTCGTCCCCTCACCAGGACAGTTCTGAGCCACAGACCCACTTCCCAGCCCTCCCAGCAGCTGAGCGAGAGGCATTTGCTTCAGCAAAACATTTGGCAAAATGCGGAGAGGCCAAGAGGGCAGTCAGTACAATGTGACTTGTTTAGGCAGTGGCCAGTCCAGCCCCGGAAGCCTGGGGCTCGCTGGGGAGAACAGCTACAGGAATCGCTATTCCGTAGTGCTTTTCACGCCTCGGTGTCTCAGGGAGCTTCACAAACAAGATGCCAGCCAAGACTCGCCCCTGGGACGGGATGCAGCCACCAGTGAGGCTCTCTGCAGCTTTGCTGCACGGCGGTGAGAGCTCACTGAATCCACAGCTCCCTGAATTTCATGGAAGGAAGCTGGGTACAGCCAGGACCAAGGGATGCGAGTGGCCAGGAGGCCATCTACCCTCTCCCCTGAGCAGCATCCTGAGTTGGGGGACTTCATGCCATCTCGGAGGAAAGCCTCACATGGGAACCTCTCCCTGCGTGCCACCTACTCCCCCAGACCTGCTGGGAGCCCAGCCAGCGGCGCTCCGCAGCAGGTCCCCAGCCCTGTGGGGCTCTCCGGGACCTGCCGGACCTGCCAGCTGGAAATATCTGCCCTGCTGAAAGGCGCTAACCTGCAGGTAGAAAACTCTCGGCTGCTAAGGCAGAGCATGGCCAGTCAGCTCTGCCAGGGCAGACGGTGTTCAGGGCCCTGCGTGCTATCCAGTCCGGTGGCATTGTGCCATCTCATTTTAGTCATTCACGGGCTTGAAATTCAGTGCCACAGCTCATTATTTTTGTTGTCAAGCTACAGGGAACTGATTGCTGTCTTTCTTACTGTGCAGATGCTGAACTGAGGGGACAGCCAAAAAACTGAGCTCTCTGCTTGCATGGAAACAGGCACCAAGGGCCACTTCTCCACTGCTGCAAGCAATTCATAGCACACTCACTGGTGGTTATGCTAACGAGAGATGCACAACGCTTCCCAAGGTCTTAATGAAAAACAGAACAAACGCCCTACATTTCTCTCTGTCCCCACATTTGCATGTGTGCATACACACAGACCCCACACACATGCTGCAAGCTACCATGAGCTACACCATTCACTGGGCTCCTTTCAAATGGAAATATCTTGCTTTCTGCACAGACCACGTAGGGATCGGCAGCAGCCGACCATCCTCGTCTGAGCATGCAAACGCCAGCCGAGGCTTGGCCACAGGGCCGGAGCTTTTAGCCCTGATGACAGCCTCAGGGAGCAGGGACCTCAGGGAGCAGAGACCTCAGGGCAGCTCCCCGTCTGCTGCAGAGGACCCACCTCGCCAGCCGGAAGGCACGCCGGGCACTCACCTTCTTGAGCACGCTGTCCAGGGTCTCTGGGCGGCTGATGTCAAAGCAGATGAGCACAGCGTCCGAGTCCGGGTAGGCCAAGGGACGGACGTTATCGTAATACGCTGAGCCTGCAGAGAGGAGCGGGAGGAGAGTGGTGAGCAGAAAGTCTCATCCCACCGACTGCTTGTTACCTGAACGGGCAGGCTGGGACCCCCAGCTCTCCCTGCCAGATCTTAAATTACAGTAAGAACTGGAGACATCACCACATGATGCAAACTGCTCTGTTGGAGATAAAGCACGTTGACCCAAGCTTTTGACCAGTGACCAGACACCATTAGGTTCAGCCGAGTTTGGTTTGCAGAGGATTTGGTGCCTTTGTTTAGGTGTGGAAGTCAGAGGTTTTGTCCTTGTGCTCTTACATTTACCCCTTTGCAGAGTGGAAATAAATGCACGTTTTGCATCCCTCTCCTGCCCCGCAGTAAGCGCCTGGCAAGTAAGAGGCGGTGGAGCTGTGCTGCCAGGGCACGTTGGCTCGCTGCAGAAAAGGGAGCTCGGAAGGGCTGTGATGCTGTAGAGCAGCACATGTTTCTCGCCGCCACTTGCGTACGTGTCCTATTACTTGTCATGCCGTTGCTGTACCACTAATGGTGGAAAGGTGTGGCTGAGAGAAGACAGGGAACGCTGCTGCTATTTTTTATCCTCTCTTGCTATCTTTACACAGGAGAGCTTGCTCACATAGACTGTGAGGAATTTAAGGCAGGTAAAAAAAGAGTTGTCTTTTGCTCTGGATTTGTGCTGGAAAAAGTCAGACAGATTCTTTTTGGTACATAAAAGATGTGACAGGATTTGGTGAACAAGCTAAAAATCGGAGGGGATGATTCTGTATTTTGCAGGATTTCTCAGTGAGCGGGCAGAGAGCCCAGCCTGAATCCTGCATGGCTTCTGCGGCACAGATGCGTGCGCACACATGCACACACACCTTCAATGCAAATTTCAGGTACTAAAGTCGTTGTCCCACAATATTTTCACTTGAAGTGCGTTCTGTGTGCGATTGTAGATGCCTCGGTAAACAGTAATGGAGCAATCAGCTCATTGCTACTTAAAAACACTGTTTCGGTTTTATATTTGGCTTTACAATGGCTTAAACTTCCTGGAGGGATGAGAAGCAGATGTTTATTTATGAAAAGGGGAAGCAGAGACACCAGAGTCCTTGTTGAATCTGCCTCCTCCGAAAGAAGGATCACCCACCCCGAGGCCGAGGAAACCGGACGCGCTTCCTGGCGTGGCCCCTTGGGATGCCCGGACTCGGCACTTTCCCACCCCGGGAGGAGGGTGGAGCACCCAGCCCGGGTGTCAGGTGGCTCCTTGATGAAGTTCAGCACCTGATGAATTATGGATGATGGCGGCTTATGTTTCCGGGAGGATGGGAATCTGCCTGGGATAAGTGTGAGAGGAGAATAGGCTGATTCTCCGCAGGGGCTCCGACCCTGGCTCTTGTCTGCACGGGGGCTCCCAACTGCTGTACAGCACAGCGGGGGGCATGGCCCCTCCAGCACAGCTCTGCACCCCAGGTGCTTTGCAAACACCCCAGATCCCTCTGCAAGCCTCAGCCAGGGGCGCAGACCCGGCTGTGACCGCTCCTTCCCCTGCCCAGAGCCCACACGGGGCAGGCTGGGGACTGGCATGCGTTGTCTTCCCAAACCCTGCCCAGCTCCAGAGACTGGCCACCCACTCTCCCCTTGACACCCGCGCACAGCAAGGTACCAGCAGCAGCCACCACTGGGACCTCCCCAGCACGGGGCTCAGGGCACGCTCCAACCAGCGCAGCCCCAGCTGCGCCCACGCAGCCCCCACGGCTGTCACGGAGCCTGGGGCGGGCACCCTGGGGTTCAACGCACGTTTGGATTCGCAGCAAAATCGGCTGCAGGTATCTCCAGCTCTTACAGACAGCCACGCTGCTGCCAGCCCGCGGGAGCAAAGGCACCTGCACCCCGTGCTCCCGTCAGCGAGAGAAGCTGCAGCCTGGGTCTCTGTCCCTGCAAAGTCACCGGGAAGAGAAGCAGTTGGGATCCAGCACAGAAGGAACAGTCCCTGATCTCTGCAGAGCCCAGCCCTCTTCCTAGAGGGAAAGTCATGTTCCCTGCATGGAAAGGAGCCAGTCCCTGCGGTACCTTGGCCAGCTCTGGGGACAGGGGATGCAGGCTGGTGCACAAGCGAGCACAGGGTGACCCTGCGTCCCAGGCGTGGAGATTTCTGACCTCGCTTCAGGCTCGAGCTGCTTCAGTTCATGACTGGCAGAGCTGGCACCAGCGAACCGCTCCCTCCCATGCTCCTGCAGCGCAGCAAGGTGACCCAGCTCCCACTGAGGACGAGGCCGCTTTGGAAGGCAGCACCAAGCTCAGTAGCACCGAGCTCCCCTTCGGACTCAGTTTTCAGTCTTGTGCCTGGTGTGGGTTTACCTGACGGGATGTGAGATCCAGCACTGATCTGCACGCTTGGATTTGCTGGTTCCTTTATCTGAGCCATGCCCGCTCCCCCACGCGTGTAAGGGTGTCTGCCTCCAGACAGGGACCCCCAGCACACGCTGGAGGAAAGCGTTCCCACACGCATCCTCTCCCTGCAGCTCCTCAGCTTTACATAAACACTGCAGATAAATCTACCCCCTCCCAGCCCAGGAATGCTCCTTTTGTAGAGGTGGTTTTGGCTCCATTCAGCACAGACTTTGCCACAGCAAACTGTATCATAGCAACCTGCTGCTCCCCTCAGCAGCCAGCCAGCTCCTCGGCCGAGAGCCTGCCCGCCGGTGCGCAGCGGAGCACAGCCCCTCGGTCATCCCGCAGAACCACCGCTGTCCCCACCCCGCTGCCAGGAATACTGCTCTCGCCACCGGACTACGGGTGGAAAGACCCTTGTGCTGGCGGGAGGAGGTGAGGGAAGGGATGCACGAGATCGAGAGCCTCATTTTCTCAATGAGATCAAAATTGCCTTCGTGTTCATTAAGTTCCTGCTCCGACGCCAAAGCACAGGAGCAGCGCCTGACACCTTCGCTGGTAGTTCAGTTCACTGGCTGCTCCGGCAGCGGGTAACCCGGTGCCCATGGCCTCGGCTGCAGAAGCCTCTGCCCCACCCCAGGAGACTGATGGAGACCGATGGTCAGTGCCGCCCCGCAGGCAGGAGCACTGCTGTGTTCCACCTTCCTTTGGAGATGTCTTTACCAAATCAAGAAATTCTGTTTGGGGGATTATTCTTCTAGGGTTTGCATCTATTATTTTTTCCTTGAGTACGACAATCTAAAAAAAAAAAAAAAAACACCTAAAACACAAAAGCCTCAGTTCCCTCAACTCCAGGTCTTCAGTTTTATTGCTTCTGAGCACTTGACATCTTTCAGATATTCCAGCAAGACACCCCAGAGACCCACAGTCTGGCACTTCCGAACACACACGCACCCAAGGCTTGTGTGTCTGCAGATCCAGCCTTCCTTTACTGCATGAGTCATTCTCCCACTTGGCACCCAGGTTTGCAAGAAACAGGACCTATGTGCATCTGTTCATGATTAAAGAGATAAAATTGGAGCAAGCCAAAAACCAGCTGAAAAATAAAATCCACGTGGTTGTTGTCTGAAATTCAGGGGCGGATAAAGTCATGAGTAGCTCCTCTTGCTTATCAGCTGGCAACCCCTCGAAATGCCTGGCACTGTGATTCAGGGATGCCGCTCTCGGGCAGGGGACTGAAATGTGCTGTTTCATCTATACCAACATAGTGTTAATCTTCATTTGTTCCTTATTAGCTGTTCTGAGAGATAATGAGCCTCCTCACACGGGCACCCTCCATCCAACAATAGCACATTACAAACCAGGAAAGCAAATAAGCATGCAGAGCCATGATCTGCTCTGCAAGGGGCTCCCGCAACCCCAGCCAGCTCTGGCTTGAAACAGAGACGAGCACTGCCAAGACCTAAATTTTTCAGCATCGCACTCGTCTCAGAGGGCTCACTGTAAACTCTCCCGACAGAGCCAGCAATGCTGCGGCGCATGCTGCTTTCTGCAGGGACAGCCAAGAACATCCTTCACAGAATGAAGCAGAAATTCATCCCAGCTTTCTGGAGTGCTGCATCGACAAACCCAAAGAGCTTCGGGTTGCCTCCCCGCACAGCGGTGCCAGACGAGCAGCAGCCTTTAGAGACTACAGAGGATGTTTTCTTTGCTAGCCAAATCCCACCGCCGGTTCAGCCAAGCCTTTGTCCGGAGGACAAAGCTGTCAAAGCAGGGCCAAGGTGCAGCTGTCTCAGTATCCTCTCCCCACGCATGGCAAGAAGCCCCGTACCACGTCTCAGCCAGCATCAGACACGAGGAGACTATGCCCTCCGCTGCCAGGGGTCCAAACCGCCCTTCACCGAGCTTCTCCAGCCGCGCGGCCCTCCGGCGCTTCCCAAGACGGGGGCTCAAACCCTTCGGAGCTGCTGTGCACCAGCACACGTGCTCAGCGTTTCCTGAGGTTAAGCAGGGCTTTCTGGAGCTGAATTCACAGCTCTAAGCGGCCTTTTGTTGCCAAGAAATTTATCCGAGTGACTGGTCACTAGAGGCAAAGGCCCTGCGTGCAGAGGCATGGCTCCGAGCCCCCTTCCCACCTCCCCAGGCCGGGCAGGGACCCCTCAGGCAGCTGCAGCGGAGGCCTGGGGTGGGAGCGGACGCTGCCGCTCAGTCACCGCGTGCTTTCCCCACCTGAGCGCTCCAGACCTGGTTAAAATTCCATGAGGTGCCAGGGAATGTAACGGCTTTCATGACTAGTCGTTCCTCTGGCAGGGCAGATGATGATGACGGTGTTAATAATAATAATAATAATATATT